AGAACAAGCCATTTGGTTCATATTTCACCATTGTAATAAACAAAGTTAACGCTAGCACTAATAAGTAATAACACAGATAATGTAAATCCAATTGAAACCAGAGGTGCACACCTGGTCAGTAACTATAGAAGGAGAGTCTCTCCGCATCTGTTGTGAATCCATCGAGCATTTTAGTGCCCGGGGGTGGCTTTGATAGTTCAACGGCATTGGAGACAACTTGGATAACCCAATATCGATTTCAAATTATTGGTTAAATTAATGTACAAACGCTAAAATTTATGTTAAGGAATAAACTTATAAAATTTTAAAATACGAAAAATAATTATCAAATAGAAAATATTTGAATTTAATGAGAATTCGAAACTTTGAGAGAAATTGTCCGTCAGCTCAAGTCTAAAATAAATCTTACGATCTCAGGTGCTATTTTGTTCCCTTCTCTTTTGGTAAAAGAAACTATACAACAATTAAACGATTTCATGAGAAACTTGCAGCTGTAATTAATCTCTTAAACCCTAAACCTTAAACACATAATCAATTAATTTTATAAATCAAATTATTAGGATACATAAATACTTGAGTTCAGTGCACAACTGCAAGTGCAACAGGCTGGTTTTGTTCAATGAATACAAAAACAAAGGGGGAAAGTAGCAGTAGTATAAATGAATAGAGATTGTACAATCTTCTATTATTAGATCCAACAACCGCATCGAATACTTCTTGTGGTAGGGTTGTGTAGAAATAAGATGATGTTTTTCATCTCTATTTTCACCACTACGATTTGGAATTCTATTTTGTCTTACTTACACTGGAGGAAAATAATAGGTGTTGATAATTAAGGGGAAACTAAAAGAGAAGGAAGTTGGACCACTAATGTTGTACTTCTAACCCATACCTACTTACATAATGTAAATTTTTTAGTTTTATACAGATTCAGAACCGTTGGATGAGTGAAAATAGATGGTTGAGATTGACTCATTGTTTTCCCCCCCAGTATATATATCCTCATTTCCTACCGTTAATCTCAGCCATATATTTTTACTCATCCAACGGTCCTGAATCTGTGTAAAACTAAAAGAGTTTTACATTGTGTAACATAATTCTATCCCTATATATATATATATTGGATAAACTACAAGATTGATAACTTTCGTTTAAATTTTGTATATTTTTCTTTTTTGAATTTAAAAAATATAATATTTAGTCACTTTCGTTTTTATTTAATTAAGATGTGGTCAATGAAGATTAACTACTATTGGACCTTTAAAGGACTGATGATGTGGTACATTAAATATATATAATTAAAAGGGTAAATTACTCGAATGATCACTAATGTTTAAATAAGTTCTTGTTTTTCCCACTAAAGTTTCAAAAGTAATAAATTGGTTACTAAAATATCAAATATGTCCTTGAACAATAATATTATATATAATGTTTACGAGTTGTTTTTTATAAATCTTCATTCCTATCACACAAAAAAAGGTTGTGAGAGGGCTGCTGCAGAGAGAAATAATTGAACTTTGCCAAGCTTGCAATGTTTCTTCGGTTCACAGAATATACTTCTTCGTGCTCTCTAAAGGTAATGGTAGGTGTCGATCAAGGTAATGGTTTCATCGTGCGACCAACATACCATCTGGGATTGGTGTTGCGTGAAGGGTGATTCACGTGAATACGGTGGAGGTGGTCAAGTGTTTGGAAAAAATGGAAATTAGAATTTTTTTTTTAGGTAAAATAGATATAAAATTATTGTTCAAGGACCAATTAATTTGATGTTTTAGTGAGCATTTTGTTACTTTTAAAATTTCAGTGGGAAAACGAAAACTTACACAGACATTAGTGATCATTTGAATAGTTTATTCTTTTTAATTTTATATTAAGATCCGATGAAAATGATTATATTTTAATTAAATTAAAACGAAAGTGATAAAATATTATGTATTTTAAATTTAGAGAGAAAAAATATAACTTAAACGAAAATGTTCAGTCATGTAGTTTACCCATAATTTTTTATCCATAAAGTCAATATACCCAATATTTAATGATTATCACTCAACAAATATATTTAATTCATATCATATTTTAATTAAGTTCCATATAGTACATGTGTTATGTTCCAATTTAATTAGAAAAAAGAAGTTAATAATATATAGAGCATACTTTAAAAGCTTTTAATTAACAATTTATCTTTTTTTCAAAATGTTCTTTCAATATTCATGAGGAGTAAAAAAAGTTTCCCATAAGTAAAAATTGTTTAAAAAAAGAATCTTTTAAACATTCACAAGAATGTTTGAACATTCATCCTAAAATAATTGAAAACCTTTTTGAACAATTATTAATTTATAATCTTTTATTTTAATAAAAAATTAGAAAAAAAAAAAGTTGTATAGGTTGAATGACAGTACACAGCTACAGTACAAAACAAAAGGCATGTGGGGTTGTCTCAGTCTGTCATTTTCTAGACAAAATAAAATGTCTTGTACAATTCAATTTTGAAACTCATTTACAGGAGAGGCTGCAACAGCAAACTTCAGAGTAGAGCAGCACAAAAAGGAAGGATGACGAGGAAGACTATACATGACATCATGCCATGCTTATTTATAGGTAGGGTGAGCAACGAAACCGAGAAAATCGAAAAACCGACACGAATCGAGTAAAACGGTTCGGTTCGGTTCGGTTTGGCTTTAAACGGTTCGGTTTTTGATTCGGTTTAAAGGTTTTATTTTTTTGATTCGGTTCGGTTCGGGTTTTCCATATGGAACCCATTTGTTCCATATTGAACCGAATAGGCAATTTTTGTAAAAAAAAATTATAGTTTCAAGTGATTTTTTCATTGAAAAACCGAAAAACCGAACCGAACCGAACCGAAAAACCCGAACCGTTAAAAAACCCGAACCGAACCGAAAAAACCGGTTTCGGTTTTTTCATTTTTTTAACTATTCGATTTCGGTTTCAGTTTAAATATTGAAAAACCGTTTATTTCGGTTCGATTCAGTTTTTGGTAAAAAACCGAATCGAACCGAACCGAACCGAATACACCCCTATTTATAGGTTGATTCTTCACTTTTAGATATCTTAGCTATTGTAAAAGCCTAGGGCTTTTTACCATCCTTACTGGAATTTATTTAATACTTCCATATACAATGATAATGATTTTCAAATCAAACTTGGGCTACATTTAGCCCCTTATATTTTATTTTAATTATTTGATAACATTTTATTAATTAAATCATTAAAATTTTATAATAGTGCAATCAGTTATTAAATAAATAAAGAGATTGATATGATAATTTTAAAATTTATATAATAATACATTTAGTCCTATAATAATACATTTAGTCCTTTATATTTATACATTTAGTTAATTTAATTTTACATAATTGGTGTTAATTGGTGACAATTTAATTTAATCAATTTTAATTTTTACAACATATTCTTCCAAGTTGGATTTGATGTTATTTGTATAATTGGTGTTTATTTGGTTGTTTTGTTGATCTATTCTCATTTTGGACTTTTAGATTCAGGGATAAATATAAAATTTTATGTTAGGGAACGAATTTATAAAATTTAGAAGGGGACAAGAATATAAAATTTAGGGAGGGCAAAAATAAATATCAATAAAAATACAAAGAAAACAAATATAAAATATAAGAGAATTTGAAAATTTAATGGGGCGATTGTCCCCGTACGCTCCCTCCTGGATCCATCCTTGCTCAGTTGATTCTCTTATTTTGATATATTCTCATAATCATTAATGATAAGTCGTGGTTGGATTATAATAAATTTAACGATAAACTACATATTTAGTCAATCACTTATTCATGTGATTCTATTTTGGTCACACGACTATTTTTTTCAAAATAATACCTAACATTACGTTTTTATTTTGTTTAGGTCACCCGCCGTTAAAAGATAAATAAAATCATTGATGTCATGATTTTTTTAATGATAAAGTGACATTATCCTATGACGACACATCAATATCACTGTTAGGTTTTTAACGATGAGTGACCAAAATGAAAAAAAAAACTCGTTAACATTATGTATGGTTTTGAAAAAAAAATAATTAGATAATAAAAAATAAACTATAACATTAGGTAAGTGATTAAATACTTAATTTAAACTGTAACATTGGGTAAGTGATTAAATATGTTATTTACTCTAAAATTAATTTGTTAATGTATCATTACTGATATTTGTATTTCATGTTAATGTTGATGGTGCTTACCATTCATCGTTAGTAATGTTGTTTATTTGTATCTATTCATTTTTTTCAAGTTATTTGATTGGAATTTTTAACACTTTTCTTGTAGGATTCTATTTTATCATTTAATGATTAATTTATAAATTTTATTAATTTTAGAGTAAATAAATTGATTGATGTGAAATCTATTTTAATTATATAAATTTAATTTTTTTTTTATATTTATCCTTTATTTAATAAATATTATTAATTAATAAATTGTTATATTTTAGTTTTTGTACTCGAACATTCTAGCTCCGGCCTTTATCAACAGAACCAAAACTGGTTGGTAGCTGATGAAATAATTAATTCCGATTAATATTGCTAATCCTTAAACGAGCGTGTGTTGCTCAAGATTGCTTAAGGCGCGTAGAGAAAAAAATATCCCGGACTATAATAAATAAACTATAGAATCCTAATTATCACTTTATTTCTTTTAGACATCTAATTATTATTTTTATTTCAAAAATCATATCTAACATTAATTTTGGTATCATTTTAGTCACCTCTTGTTAAAATTTAATGGTGATGATGATATGTTAGCATAAAATAGCGTCACATCATTATTGAAAAATAAAAAATGCTACGTTAACAGTTAATTTTTTAATGATTGATGACTAAAATGAAACCAATATTAAATATTAGGTAATTTTGAAAAGAGAAATAGTTAAAAACCCCAAAATAAAATAAAAATAATAGTTGGGGCATTACTACCCTAATAAATAACTCGGAGTGCTAACACGAGCGAAAGGGAAACCGAGAAAGCCAGAAAATTAAAGAAAAAAAATGCTAAAAAGAAAAACTGAAAAGAGAATGAAGAAATAATATAGGGGTTTCCATTTTATTGTAAAAGACCAAAACACCAAGTCCCATTGTTCTAAGCAAAGAAACTTGAAAACCCAGACAGAAAGAAGAAAAAAGAAATATGGGGAGAGGGAGAGTGGAGCTGAAGAAGATAGAAAACAAGATTAACAGACAAGTCACCTTCTCTAAGAGGAGAAATGGGCTGCTCAAGAAAGCTTACGAGCTTTCTGTTCTTTGTGATGCTGAGATCGCCCTTATCATCTTCTCTAATCGTGGCAAGCTCTTTGAGTTTAGCAGCTCTGGGTATATACAATTACGTTAAACATATATATATACTCAAAATCTGCTACATGTTTCTTTCTGGTTAATTTCGTCAGTATATATCACTTGAATTTCTCTCCTTGGATTTGTTATTTTCTCATGGTTTTCCTTGGCTTAACTCATGTGTAGGAAACCTGAGTTTACAAGCTTCTTTTCCAGTGATAGATTAACACGTTTCATCTCATTTGTACAGGGGGGAAAAAACTTATTTTCCCTCTAAACTGGTTCTTTGGCCTTCTTAATCTTTTCACTTGTCAGTTTTGGAATATAGCACCAAATAGATGAAAGATTAAAGAAAACAAAACCATAAATGGTTTTTGTCTTTTGAGTTCAGTGCTCCATTTTCACATGTAATGCTTGGATTATGAGGTAAAATCAAGCACACCCCTTGTCCCAGAAAATTCACAACTTTTGGGTTTGATTCTTGGTTTCTTTAGATTATGTTGCACTTTGTCAAGCTAAGGTGCAAAGCTTAATCCAATGTCTTTTATAAAGTTGAAGTGAAGAGTTTTTAGCTGATCAAAATAACACAGCTTTGTTTCTGGGACTGTCATATTTATGCTGTTTGCAGTAAAGTTTCAACCTTGCTTTGAGCCAGTTGGATAAAGTTTTTCACTTTAATTAGGTATACCGTGACAAAAATAATTATTGAACGTCATCCACTTCAAAGTTTAAATAATCGAAATTCTTGTTCTTCGTAAACATTTGAGGCCTGCATTCGATGAATTTGCTTTCACTTTCTTGAATCCCTTGCATGCAACGTCATCATGATTATGCTTAAAAATACAAAAACCTTGTATTTCTTTCGCAAATTATTATTGTTTTTCACCATTTATTTGTTCTATGGCAGTATGAGCAAGACCCTTGAACGATACCAGCGTTGCTGCATTGTTCCTCAAGACTATAGGCTTGAACGTGAAACCCAGGTTACTATTCAAAAATTTTCTTAATATGTAATAACACTTATACACCGTTAATTGCTCGAATCCAAATTATCTGAAAGAACAATATTTTCTTTTTTACAACATTCTCTTAATGAATGCTGAAAAGGGTCTTTATTTACTCCTCGTAAAACATTGATCTTGAGCTGCTTAACTTGTGGAAGCTTTATGTTCCTTACTGATGGTAAAAATCTGAGTAAATAGCAATGGACTTTTTTTTATTACCTTAGTTTGAATCAAATGGTAATTTCTTTTACAACATTTTACCCTGCATGCTTATCGTTTCTGGGAATAATTATCAGTGGCCTTTCCTTTGGTTCATAAGTTGTGTTTGCTTATCAATGCAGAGTTGGTACCAAGAAGTAATCAAGTTGAAGGCAAAATATGAGGCACTGCAACGCACTCAAAGGTTTGGTTTTTCATTTGGGAGTTCAAATATGTGGATTAGCAAAACCATATCTACTAATTTACAAGTAAAAAAGCAAAGGTTCCTTTACTATAGGGACAAATTTTCAACAACTATTTACTGGATAATTGATACGTTCACGTTTCTGCGGCACCCACGTTCCCACTTTCACATTTGGACACATGGTGGACGTGTGAAGGTAGCATGAGTGATGGTGGTTATTGATGTGAGTACTACTATAAATAATATCTGCTAATAAGCTTCTTCAGCATAAAATTGCAATTTTTTCATTTATATTTAATGAAATTTTTTAGTGTTTATATTATCTTTGAAAAAAAATGATATTAAACCAAGTGAAATTTGACGTACACGATGATGGTGTAAGATCTGATTTTTTTTATATTCGATTTAACTAATGATTCAAGGTATTTTATGTTTAATCTTTTTCGTTATTTTAATGTTATAAATTATTATTTATACTTATATTTGGTATCTGGACTTGGTTTATCTCCGTCTTATTTGTTTTAATAATTATAAAATTTACTTAAAATGATGATATTAACTTTTTTGTTTGAATTAATTTTTGAAACATTTCTCGAGAATTTTATTGTAAACTTTTGTACAAAATCATTGGATTTTCTTAAACTATAATTTCTAAAATTAATATGTATAATTTAGTGAAAATTTTATAAACTTTATGATTTAAATATTTCATGTTCCTAGACTATAACATATTATTGTTGTGTGTGAATTATTTGCTTTCCATGTACACAAAAGTTTTTAGGTGCATTATATTTAGCAATATAACTTTAGAATACATGCCTAGGAATTTGAATAATGTTATTTAATTAGAGAATTAACTATAATAATTTTAATTAAATAAAATTATTTATTACGTTAAGGATTTCATAAGGATTATAAAGGTTAGATGATGTATAACGACTTAGCAACGATCTTGAATAAAATTTTAGAACTAATATCTAGTTAAATATTTTTCATAATTTTATTTAGGTAAAGACTATTTATATCTTTTTCAATTAAATAAAATTATCAAAATTAAAATTCACATACATAAATCATATGTATTAAATCCCATTGCGTGATTTATTAAGAAAAATTATGAAATAATTTATTTAGGATCTACTTACACAATGTAAAACTCTTTTAGTTTTACACAGATTTAGGACCGTTGGCAGAGTAAATATAAATGGTTGAGATTAACTCCTTGTTTTTTTCCTCAGGTGAATATCTTCTCATTTATTACAACTAATCTCAAACATCTATTTTCACTCATCTAATGATCCTAAACATGTGTAAAGTTATTATCCCTTTTATAGTTATTCACAAGAGTTATGAAAATACATTTAATAATTTTATCAAAAAAATATAGATAATAATTTTATTATAAAAAGATTAAATTAGAATTAGAATTTTAGCCTGCATGTAATTTTTATGTCACTAAGTTCATTAATTCCATAATTTACATTGATAAATTATGGTTTGTGTGAAACATGTATGTTTATTTATTTTAAAATTTTATAACTTATGAATATATCTTATAATAGAATAGATGTCTCTTAATTAACTAATGAGGACTTTAAGTTTTGGAAGGAAAGTATTCTTTCTCATTTTAAGGACTTCGATATTGACCATGTCATAAGAAGAGTTGAACCACATATAATTTAAACTAACACTCAAATTGATGATTTCTCATATGAAAAAATGAGAGTGAAATAATCACTTGAGTATCATGTTCATTTAGTGTAAGGTTCTTATTGATCTTCGTGTCTCAATTGTTATGAGAAAAATAGTTCAAACTTTTAGAAGTCATTGGTCAACAACCTAATCATGAATTTTTTTCTCGACAAATTTAATTTTATTAATAATTCAACAAACCTAAGTTAAGAGATTCGTTAAAAACCTCTCTAACCTAGATGGAGGAAAAGAGTGCTCAAAACTAGGTAAAAGGTACAAAACCAACCAGAAGTTAGCAAAACGAATACAACAAAACAGACAATTGATCCATTCAGACAAATCCAATTATCTACCAAACTGCCCACCCTTACATTGTACAACATTAAATTGTTTCAAATACCAAAACTCCAAGCACCACACCTGAGAGAGTTCCTGCAGTTTAAACTTGATGAAACAATGGCCTGCTTTATCAATTGACCATACTAACCTATCCGGGACATCACACTTCAAAACCATGACATGAGTTCGCTCATTTAGGACGTGAAACAATGCCTTTTCTCTATCCAGTAGATTCTTAGTTAAGATCCCCTCCCAATGACTCAAAACAAAGCTCCCCATTGACTGTGTATTCAGTAACAGAAATCCTTTTACACACATCTGAATCCTAATTTCTTTCAAACAGCAGCAACACCCTCGGTACCATTCCATACCCAAAAATGACAAATAGGCAGGAATGAACAAAATACGAATGAAATTCAAAAACTCTCTAAAATCACTCATAAAAACTAACCCAACTAACAGAAAACAAAGCCAGCATACTAATGAAGAGAAAACTAACATATTAACAACCAGGTCGGGAGCCAAAGTAATTCGCTTTACCACCAAGCTTCTGACTTCTGCATAACTTCTATATCCAACCAATAAGCCAACCTATATGAAATCCTATCAAAATAAAAAAGTTGAGATTACAAATCCGAATTGCTCCCTCTTGTTGCCCCCTTTCACTTCTTGGAATTAGATTTCTCAAAAGGATCTTCTAAAAATTAAGCCCCAACTCTCGAGTTTATCTATCCCGAACTACACCATCATTCATCAGATTTTGGTCGAATTAGTGTTGATAAATCGGGCAAAGTAAACGAAAGAACACAAGAATTTTAACGAGGTTCGGCAATGTGCTTACGTCCTCGGTGCCTAGGCGGCGCTAGAAAATTTTTATTCAATGATAATAGGTTTAGGTTACATCTCTATTTATAATAGAAAACCCTGGTACATAATTACAAAATTAACCCTGTACCGTATCGCGGGGCGCAGCCCCCGCACCCCCAACCCACATAATCGTAACCCCCTCTACAAGACTTTCTTTGTAAGAAAAGTTGATGTTTGCTTCGCTCACTCCGCTCCATCCCCTGTCCTCTTTACCGGTATATTTATGAGCCATACCTTACAATTAGCCTATATAACTGGAGACTAACAACACCACTCTTTGCCATACACACTCTCCCAACAAAGCAGCAGACCAACCGTGATTGCGCAGACTCCTTAAGCCAAAACACCCAAAATAACCAAACTATCACCTACACGCTAATTTGACTTCCAAAGACAAGCACCGTCAACCCCCAAACCAGTAACAGAAACAGATACGTGATCCACAATCCCTTATAGACCACCCGCTTCAAATTTGCTTACTTCATAACATCTAACGAACCAAAAACAAATTTCATCAAAGGCTACAAGATCCACTAAGTCTCATCTTTTCACACTCATACAGCAACAACATCTGAACACTAAAATCCTCTTATGTACCACGATAGTCTCCTCATCTTGACTCTTCCTTCACTGATTTCAGCTAAAATTCAATAGAAAAATATTGTGACTCGCCTTCCAATTCCTCCAGAGCTGTAAATTCCCGAACCAGAACCTCATCTGAGCCTTTAAATTGTATACCCAGTTCTCTGCCAAGCTGTAATGTTTCCTTCGCTTCCCTCTTTTGTCTCTTCCACCTCGCTTGTAGGTCAGAATCAGATAAAGATCTTCCTTCTAGCTCAGACACTTCTTCCTCGTTTATCACCTTATTTTGATTTTTCTTGATTCTGCAGTTTCTATTCTTTCTTTGTATGACTACATACTTCTATTGAATTCTTTGCAGAGAGCTATATTTTTTATTTTTCCCCACCTTTGACCTTCGGTTCTGTCTGGAATTGAGCATAAAAAAATCCTCCCTCGTTTGTGTTGACAAGCCAAGCCTTTGGTCTATATCCTCCCAAACTATCCCCTGTTTGGCATATCCTCCTAATCATGAATGAAGTGAAGCTTACTATCGAGAAAGTTGTATGTGACTAAATCTACAAGATGGAAGATTCAACAACTCAATTAAAAACACTTGAGGTTGAAACCTTTTTTAATATGTTTTATTCAACATTCTTCCACATTAGTATAAAAAGATAAGTAGTCTATCTATGAGCTTTTGTCCACGTGGTTAAGAAGAGACTAAACTCACATTAGAAATAGGAAAAAGTGCACCGATGGTTACTCGAGAATAAAAGATAACCCAAGCCAAGTAAAAAAGGAAGGCCAAAATGCATCAATAAGATCATTGATACTTTACTTGCAACAAATGATATTGGTATGCTACATGAGATGAACAATTTATTTCTAAAAATGTTAATATGAAATATATGAATGATGCATTTTTTGTTATTGATATTAAGATCCATCATGGTAGACACTAAGATATTCTAAGTTCGTCTCAAGAAATATCTATCAACAAAATTTTTTAAAAAAAATTAGATAAAAGACTACTCACTGAATATTGCTTTTATCATGAAAGTGATAAGTTAAATTTGCACCAGTTCCCTAAGAACGAATTTGATAGACGAAAAATGAAAAACATTTCATATGTTTTTGTTGTTGGAAACTTGATGTCTGCTCAAGTTTGTACAAGATCAAACATTATATTTGTAGTTGGAACGTTAGAAATATATCGAAGTAATCCATGTATTGACTACTATAGAACTACAAAAAAAAAAAGTCTTAAGCTATCTTAAAGGGACAAAGAATTGCATACTTACATACAAATAATCAACCAATTTGGAGGTGATTGGCTACTCCTATTCAGACTTAGTTTATTGTGTTGATTCATGTAAATCAACATCATGTTACGATTTCATACTTTTCAACGAATTTGTATCTTGGATGGGTGCCAAGTAGACGTTAACTATTACTTTCACTATGGAGGTTGAGTTTCATGTTTTGAGGTTACCTTACATGAATATGATTAAGGAGTTTCATTTATGAGCTTAGAATTATATATTCAATTTCTAACCCACTAATAAGATAGTGTGACAATTCACATGTCTTTGTGGACAAGAAAATAAGAATAGAAGTTTACTTACCATTAGGTATATACTCATAAGGTTGGGGACGTATTAAGATAAGGAAGTGATCATTTAGTACAATCACTTTAATTAGATTTTAGTTGATCCACTGGCTAAGGACATGTCACGACACAAATTTAAGAGTTTCACTATGAGATTGTTCACATAGTATAAATTTTCATTGTAAGAGGGATTATAAATATATATATATATATATATATATATATATAGTTTAATGTTTCTCGTCTTTTATTTGTATGCATATTTATTTGATTATTTCAAGAAAAGTCAATAAGGTTTGGATTTGGAATAAACATTGAGTTTATTCACTAATAAATGTAGGCTAAAGCGTTGAGACATGAAATATGATGGTACATAGAAGATACTATTCAATTCGAAGAAGAAATATCATCATGATTCATACATTATGGTTTAACTTTAAATATTTATGTGTAATACAAACAAAATAGGAGAATGATGGAACGGATTCACGGACGTTAACGCTTTTTGTTACCCCGTGTTCCCACTTTCACATTTGTGTAGTAATGGTGGACGTGTAAAGGTGGCATGAGTGATTGTGGTTCTTGATAAGAGAACCACTAAAATACCATCTAGTCATAAGGACTATAAACACAAGTAATTGTATACCATCCAGTTAAGTTTTGTAGTGTTTAGAAGATCTTTAGATTTTTATGTATTTTAAATAAAGAAAATTTTGATATGTATAACGACGGTGTAACAACATTTAATTTTTGGTATTCAGTTTAGACAATGACTGAATGTTTGATCTTTATCGTTGCTTTTATTTTCTAAATCATTAATAATGCTTAAGTTAATAACTGCTTACGTTAAAATAATTCACAATAATTAAATTGAAAAAAAAAATTAATTGATCCTATTCTCATATGTAATGGGGTAAGGGGAGGTAGGGTAATAGGCTGCCCCCAACATTAGGTTGAGAACAACTTCCGTGGAAGACCTCCGGCAATTATGAATTACCCACTGTGAGACTCGATCCCACGACCACGATAATTAAATTGAACCATTTAATAATAAAGGAACTAATTTGAATTCCGATCCAAATGTGAGGTACTTCCATCCAAGTAAATAATTATGATCATGCTTACGTTAATTCGTTATATGTTTAATGTGTAACAGGCAATTGCTTGGAGAAGATCTTGGACCATTGAATATGAAAGAACTGCAAAACCTTGAGAAGCAACTTGAAGGAGCTCTTGCAATGGCTAGACAACGAAAGGTGCTTACATGTGATCTTTAACTTAGAGTTTAGTCAACAATGCATTTTGCAGTCCATATTCAAGTTTTTTTGATTAATGATTCTTAAAGAAGAAAGCTCTACTAAGTTTTTCCTGTTTGTTCATATGAATTTCATGGCAGTCTAAATATTAAAATTGTGAAAACATTTCTTATTGATCTTCACCAAAAATCTGTTCTAACAAAACTCTTTTTCTTTACTGTTCTAAACTGCAGACGCAGATTTTGAACGAGCAAATGGAAGAGCTACGCAAAAAGGTACTTAAGTGAGTAATATGCACTATTCCAATACGTCGGTTTCACCAAATATTAGATTCCCATGGCGATGAATGTGTGGGTCACCTTTGGTCTTACTTGTCTCATCTTGGTTTTCATCTTTTTGGCAGGAGATTCAGCTTGGAGACATTAACAGAGAGTTGAAAAACAAGGTTAACCTTGATTAGCAACCTATCTCTGCAGTTTCACAGTGCTCAATATAACCTAAATACTTTCATCTGGGTTTCAGCTCGAGGAAGAAGGAGAAAACCAGAAAACAATGGAAGGTTTATGGAGTTGCGGTGCAGCAACTGACAACTTTCCTCTGCATACCTCTCCGTCACACCCCATGGAATGTGATCTTGAACCTGTTTTGCAAATAGGGTAACAGTTATTATATACACCATCTAGCACCTTCTTTTATATATAATATATAGGTTCTCATGAATTATTGTCTACATATAGTGATAATTTGTTTTCACTCCTAAAATGTTATAAATTCTCCCACTAACATAAAATCTTGCATCCACCCAAACCATATAAAGCAGCAACAAACATTTTTTTCTATTCATTCATGGTTTTGAAAAGTTGGTTCTATTGAAACAGGTACCATCACTATGTTGAGGGTGAAGGATCTTCAGCCCCCAAGGACATGGCTGGTGAGGCCAACTTCATCCACGGATGGATCATCTGAAACATAAATATTTATAAAAATTATATTGTGATTTCATCTGGGATTTTATGCTTTCTAAATATATATATATATATGTATGTACCTTGTAATTGTTTTATTTCAGGCACTAAAATGCCCATTTGGAGCCTTCAAGATTATTTTGTAGGCTAACTGCAGCCCTTATAAATAGGTTATTTTGGTGCACTACTCCTAAACATGGTACCCTGCGCATATAAATCTCTTGTGAATTTGTACACTGCTTTTTTTTCTTTTTTTTACTTGGTTTCCTTAAAATCTTGTTTGTTCTTCCCTTTGAATCTTGATTTCTATGTTCTTTTTTTTCATGCCATGCCAAGAATTCCAGCTATGTACTTTAGCTTGTATTGTGTTTTGCATAACAGGTATTCTCAAACCAAAACTCTTCAAACAAGTAGAAGAAATCTATGTGCTACATGGATCAAACACTACAACACTTGAGAGAGATCCGAATCAACACTAATATGACCCCAGCTCCATTCTTACATATGAACTCCTGTTTTCTAGTTCTTGCCCGCCTTGCATGATTGAAATTTGATTCAGATGGAAAGTAAAAGAAAATTGATTCCTCAGTTAACTAAGAATTGTGTGGTTTTGGTATGGTTAAAGAATACAACAAAATCATGGACCACAACTTCTTGTGGCTGTATTCTTAAGATCCCGACATATACGTGTACCTCGTCTGCGCCCCCATTATAAGCTCGACAATTTTTCCCGCCAAAAGTTTAAAATATAACATTTTAGTTTCTTCTTACATTATTAGTCTGATCAATTATCTTACATGCAATTATGTCTATATTCAAAAGCTTAAAGGAAAAAAGATCAGCCCGATGCGCCTGTTAGAGTCCCAATTAAAGGAACCGGCTCCAATTTCAGTGCTTTCAAGCTTTTGCCTGAACAACAAACATGCACTAATTTGTTAAGTTACTTACCAATAGGAAATGTATCAGCAAACAAACGGCATATATTACAAAGCAACTTTGCGATGATTTTATCAATTACCTGGTATACTTGCCAAAGAATGGTTCTCTCTCATGAGGTAAAGTGCCCAACAGTTTCCGTCGTTTGACCTGGATTATACACTTCGTATCAGCACAGCTATAGTTTTAGTGTGTAAGAATATTAATTATTAAGCAAGGCTGATGAATGATCTGTAAACATCTAAAGACTCTTAACCTCATCCTTTTCAGAGGCAGAAAGATGGAACTTTTGCTCTCTTTCAACCATCCTGGACTTTGTTACATGAGATAGAAAGCCGAATCCAACAAAGTCAACAGACAGAGAAAGAAACCAAGGAATCCATGAACTAATTCCATATCTTCTAATGAACAAAACATATATCAGTGGTCTTGTAATAAAGAAGACATCCCCCAGAACGAATAAAGCTCCATTAATACCCTTCTCTGACAAAATCATGGACAGAGTAAGCCTTTTAATAGTTGAACCTGTAAAAGGAAATAAAATGCAAAAAATTAACAGGCTTCCCCATTCATCAATTCACCATAACGAGTAACAAATCGTGAAATGTTAAGAAAAAATAATCATTTGAAGGCTCCATAATCGCATGCTGCTGTTGAATTCTCCGGACCCATGTAGGGTCAGACATCGTCCTAGCACTCTCTCCAAATCTGCTCAAAGCAGACAATGCCCTCCCTTCAATATTCCACGGGTTTCGCCCATGGTTGTTTTGTAACCAACCAAGTCTATGATGATGACCTCCGGGCCCAAGGAAACCTCCAATTCTATGTTGTGAACTTGTATCGTCTGAACATTGTTCAACATTTGGTGTCTCTCCTCCATGAAGACGCATCTTATATCCACTGTTTTGGAATAAAGCTAATCTGACTATCACCCTACATCGAGTACAAAATTATTAGGCAAAGGCACACTCCAAACATATTAGGAGGAAAAGCCTAGGTGAAGATTCGAAGTGTCATACATCATATAATCGAAGGTGGTTTCTTACTTGATAGCTTCCATAGCAGCAATGAAATTCCATTTCTTATCACCATAGTACTGCTCTGTGACAACTTCAACCAAAGTTTCCAAGTCCTTTAGTGCATATATGCACAACCCATAACAGAATGATGAAGGGTCGGCATGTTGAAAGTCCAAGTCAAAATTTGGCAGCTGCAAAGTGAGTGAATTCGGTGGTCCAAATTGACAGCAGATTTTGGTTGAAAATTAGCAAGGGAAAATTACTTAATTTAATCCTTGTACTTTAAGGTATTTACAAGATTAGTCATTAAGCTTTAACTATAAAAACTCTAATCCATTTAGCTTCAAAACATCCCAAATCATTATAGCTTTCTCCAATACTAGAGAATTTAGAGAGTTTTCTTGAGAGTTGTTTTCTCCCTTTTATCAAGAGATAATTGTTATTGTTTTCTTCTTGTTAGATCGAGAGAAGTTGTAATTCCTATTTTCTTATAGTGAAATTCTTTTATCTTTGCCCGTGGTTTTTACCCTATATTATTTAGGGGGTTTTCATGTAAAATTTGTGTCTTCTTTATCTTATCTTTATTTTCTCAAATTATCAGTTGCGATTTTGCTTTATCCAATAGTTGTATTCTGCAACAATTGGCATTAGAGCCAGATTTGAGTGTGCAATATCTACTTATTGTCTTTGTGGTTGCCACCAAAAGGTGGATCCTTCAACATAAGAAAGTAACAAGATATTACTCATTCTTTGAAGGTTCCAGAGAACTATTCACGATAATGAAATAGTGGGAGCTATCTGTAATAGAAGCTATGACAACGAAATTTGATTTTGAAAAGTTTAATGGGATAAATTTCTCATTGTGGAAATTAAAGATGAATGTCATCCTGAAGAAAGACGGTTGTCTAGCGGCTATCAGTGAAAGGCTGATAAATTTCACAGATGACAGCAAATGGAACGAGATAGACGTGAATGCTATGACAAACTTTCATCTAGCATTACCAGATGAAGTATTGTCAAGCATTGTGGAGAAAAAGACAACTAAGAAGATATGGGATCATCTCACCAAACTGTACAAGGCCACATCGTTGCACAATAAAATTTTCCTTAAGAGAAATTGTGTGCTCTCCGGATGTCAGAATCTACTTCAGTAACGGAGCACTTAAACACACTGAACACTTTATTTTCTCAGCTAACATCCTTAAGATGTACAATAGGAGAACAAGAACGTAATGAACTTTTACTTCAAAGTCTACCTGATTCGTATGATCAACTCATCATCAACTTAACAAACAATAATGTCACCAGTCTAGCCTTCGATGACAATGCATTTGTTGTTCTACAATAAGAAAATCGAATCAAGAGCATGGAAGACAAACAAGTAAATCTGCAATAAGCAGAAGCGTTGACAACTATGAAAGAGAGATCAACAGAACGTGGCCAAAGTAGTAGTCACAAACATGGTAGATTAAAGTCGAGAAGCAAGAAGAATTTAAAGTGCTACAACTGTGGAAAGAAGGGTCACTTGAAGAAGGATTGTTGGAGTCTAGGTAAAAACTCCAATCCACAAGGCAATAACACAAACACTTCAGATGATGGAGATGCTCTATATTGTGAAGTTTCAACCACCATGGAAGGTAGGAAGAAATTTACAGGTATATGGCTCATTGATTCGGGAGCAACATATCACATGACCTCAAGAAGAGAATGGTTCCATCATTATTAATCTATCTTAGGAGGATCTGTGTATAGTTGCAATGATCATGCCTTAGAGATCGTTAGCGTTGAAACCATCAAATTGAATATGTATGATGGAACAATTAAAGTTGTTCGAGATGTGCGACATGTGAAAGGCCTGAAGAAAAATTTATTATCTTATGGATTGGTCGATAATAATGCAAACAAGATTGAAACATGGAAAGGAATCATGAAGGTGTTACGTGGAGTGTTTGTGGTGATGAAAGGCGAAAAGATAGCAGCAAACTTGTATATGTTGTAGGGAGAGATTTTGCTAGAAGTAGAAGCCTCTGTTGTCTCATGTAATTCAAATTCTGCAATGCTATGGCATCAGAAACTTGGACACATGTCAGAACAAGGAATGAAAGTCCTTATGAAGTAAAAGCTACTTTCAGGGTTAACAAATGTATCGTTTACTTTGTGTTCTAGAGGCAAAAATATTCTAGAATTAGTTCATTCTGACGTATGGCAAGCACCAGTTACATCCCTAGGTGGAGCAAAATACTTTGTCTCATTTATTGATGACTACTCCAGGAGATGTTGGGTGTACCCTATTAAGAAAAAGTCAGATGTATTTTTAACTTTCAAAAACTTCAAAGCGTGGGTGGAACTTGATTCTGGAAATAAGATCAAGTGTTTCCGAACAGATAATGGAGGAGAATACGCAAGTGAAGAATTTGATGATTTTTGCAGGAAAAAAAGACATCAAAAGACAGTTCACAGTGGCGAACACTCCTCAACAAAATGGAGTGGCAGAGCGGATAAACAGAACCTTATTAGAAAAAAAAGAGCAATGTTGAGGGCTGCAGGCCTAGAAAAATCATTTTGGGCAGAAGCAGTCAATACCGTCTGTTATTTGGTGAATCGAACTCCATCAGCTGTAATAGAGTTGAAAACACCAATGGAGATGTGGATTGGTAAACCAGTTGATTATTCAAATCTCCATGTATTTGGAAGTATTGTGTACGTGATGTACAACTCCCAAGAAATTTCAAAGTTGGATCCAAAATCCAGGAAATACATATTCTTGGGGTATGATGATATTGTAAAGGGGTATCGCTTGTGGGATCCCACTGCCCGCAAAGTGATCATCAGCAGGGATGTTATCTTTGTAGAAGATAAACTACAAAGAAAAGAAGAATATGATAGTACTGAAAAGTTAGAGACTACACTGATACATGTGGAAAATGAGTTTGAACAAGGAGATTCTTCTGAAGCAGAATCAATACATGGTGAACAAGAACTAGAGAGTTCTGGAGCTCCAACAACTCGTCAATTAGATCGTGTGAAAAGAAGTCCCAATTGGTACTCATATTATGTTATAGAATGAAATATTGTATACTGCCTTTTAACAGAGGACGGTGAGCCATCAACTTTCCAGGAGGCAATAAACAACTCAGATGTTTCACTATAGATGATGGCGATGCAAGAAGAAATTGAAGCCCTTCATAAAAATAATACATGGGTCCTTGTGCCACTACCACAAGGA